AATTCTTGGGGTTTTTTAATATGCTGAATCTAGCCGTGTATTTAGTTTTTGGATTTTGGGCCCCGTTTTTAAATTGGTCCACATTGAGGTCCAAAGGGTCCAAAATTAAACTTTGTTTGATTTCATCAAAAATTGAATTATTGGGGTTCTTTGATATGCCGAATCTAACCGTGTATTTAGATTCTTAATTTTTGGTTCCGTTTTCAAATTGGTCTACATTAAGGTCCAAAGGGTCCAAAATTAAACTTAGTTTGATTTTAACAAAAATTGAATTCTTAGGGTTCTTTGGTATGCTGAATCTAAACATGTATTTAGATTTTTGAGTATGGGCCCAGTTTTCAAGTTGGTCCAAATCGGGGTCCAAAATTAAACTTTGTTTGATTTCAACAAAAATTGAATATATGGGGTTCTTTGATATGCTGAATCTAACCATGTATTTAGATTTTTGATTTTTGGGCCCCATTATCAACTTTGTCCACATTGAGGTCAAAAGGGTCCAAAATTAAACTTTGTTTGATTTCATCAAAAATTGAATTCTAGGGGTTCTTTGATATGCTGAATCTAACCATGTATTTAGATTTTGGATATTGGACCATAATAGGTGAATGTCCAATTTAAAATTTTTAAGTTCTTAGACCACATTCATTCTGTGTCAGAAACCTATGCTGTGTCAAATATTTAATCACAATCCAAATGCAAAGCTGTATCAAGCTTGAATGTTGTGTCCATACTTGCCCCAACTGTTCAGGGTTCGACCTCTGCGGTCGTATCAAGCTGCGCCCTGCGGAGCATTTTATTATATTGAAGATATTGATTTGATATTTGATATATAGTTTAGCCATGACTAGTTGCAGATCAAGTTTGAATTTTGTTTGGTTTGGATGATTTATTTGCAGTGTTATTGTCCTCGGACTTAAAAAACTCACGCAAATAATCAGTTTTCGCACTTTATTTTCTCATGCTTGTTTAATTCCTTATTCATTTCCAGAGGCTACATGTTTGTCTCCTTTCTCTTACTTTTGGCCACTCATTTTCATTCGGGTAATAACATGAGCTCCACCGTTCCTTTGAAGCCCAGGTCCCTATCACTAGAGCCCCAACAACACTCCTCATAGAACAACCGAAACAAAAGCCTGTAATATTCTCATGGTAAGAAGATATTAATGTTTAACTTGTTTTCAACGTTTAATCGAACAGAAGTCCTGCAACAATTTGATGACATGGGGAACAAGGGGCAAAGGAACATGAATCTAAACACACTAACAATTTCTTTTTCTTTCGCCCTCACAAATTCAAAAAAAGCAAGTCTTGGGCATGCTGTTTCCGATGGTGTCCCAAAATTGATTAAAGTTTGTAATTGGTTCAGTTTAAGGGAACCACTAAAGGTAAGTCGATGACAATTGGAAAGCTGGCACAGTCGTGGTCTATTGACTTTGAAATTTGATCCTATTAGTAGCTTGCATGTTAAAAGTCCATAGTTCAGAATGAAGGGAACCACTAATGGTAAGTCACTGATACTTTGTATATAACTTATTGTCTCGCCTGTGTGACCAGTATTACTATCCGGCGGCGGCGGCGATGTAGACTTTGTATAAAGCTTTATATTTCAGAAGGTAGAAGGCCTAGATGCCTCTTATCTTGCATGCAGATATGTTATTTTACGAAGCTTCCGTCTTTCATATGTCCATTGTCCTTGACCTCATTTTCATGGCTCAGTGACTGCTCGAAAAAAAAATGTCTCACTTGTTATGAGTAGTAGGATACTATATTTGATATATAGATTCCTTGCAATGACTACGTGTCCGTCTGACAGTGTTCACCTGACCTTGACCTCATTTCATGGATCAGTGACCAAGGTTAAAGTTACGCGATTATGTCCGTTTCTCAGGTACTGTAAGCATTAGGTCAACTTTATGTGGTGTAAGGGGTACATGACAGTCTGGCAGGTTTCATCTGACCTTGACCTCATTTTCATGGTTCATTGGTTAATGATAAGTTTTTGTGTTTTGGTCTTTTTTTAAGTACTATAAGCAATAGGTCAACTAAATTTGCTGAATGGAATGAATGCAAGGTGTACATGTTCGGTCTAGTCGGTATCAACTGACCGTGACCTCATTTTCATGGTTCATTGGTCAATGCTAGGTTTTTGTGTTTTGGTCGATTTTTATACGCCCGTTTACGGGACGTATTATGGTATATCGTTGTCCGTCGTCAACATGTCGTACATTAACTCAAAAATGCTTTAACCAATTTGCATAAAACTTTGGTGAATTATTTATATCTATTGACGTGAGCTCCCTTTCGTTTTTTATAAAATTTATATTTTACGTTTCCGAGTTATGGGGTTTTATTCATTAAAAAAAGGGGGATTTTCCCGTTTTCGGACCATTAGTCAAGAATGCTTTCACCAACTTGCAATAAAATTGTGGTGAATTGTTTATATCTATTGACATGAGCTCCCCTTTAGATTTTTTTAATTTTAGATTTTACGTTTCCGAGTTACAGGGTTTTATTCATAAAAAAGGGGGGATTTTCCAGTTTTCGGACAAAAACTCAAAAATGCTTTCAGCAATTCTTATGAAACTTTGGTGAATTGTTTGTATGTATTGATGTAAGCTCCCTTTAGAATTTTATAAATTTTACATATTACATTTCTGAGTTATGGGGTTTAATTCATTAAAAAAATGGTTGATTTTCCAGTTTTCGGACAATAACTCAAAAATACTGTCACCAATTCTAATGAAACTTTTGTGAAATGTTTATATCTATTGATGTAAGCTCCCTTTTTATTTTCATAAATTTCTAATATGACATTGAGAATTAATTGAACTTTATTTGTTTATAGTCTGACAACAGATTTACTAAGTATATTGCACAACAGCAAGAAACCTTTAATTGAATATAAATTCAATTCATATAATCATGCAATTTCAAGTTCTTTGACTACATTTATTCAGAAACCTATAATAAGTCAAATATTTAATTACAATCCAAATTCAGACCTGATTCAAGCTTGAATATTGTGTCCATTTTTGCCCCAACTGTTCAGGGTTGGACCTCTGCGGGCGTATTTACTGAGTTGCGCTCAGCGAAGCAGTTTATTCAAATACTAATAGCAATAGTCAGCTATGTTTGGTGTATGGAACAATTGTAAGGTGTATATGTCTGTCTGTCAGTATTATCTGACCTTGACCTTATTTTCTTGGTTCATTGGTCAATGATATGTTTTCGTAAATTTGTCAGTTTAACTGTAAGCAAGTTTATGTGATACTTGTAGTAGAACCTTCATGTTACTGACTTTCAACATGAATTCAATGATAAGTGTAAAACAGGCGAGACATTTCGGCGTGTATACTCTTGTTAGTATAAGTCTCATTTCCGTGGATATTATGGCGCCGCCCCTTTGAACAGTCATGGTTCATTAAATATGGATTTTTTTGCATATAGGTAACATAAAGTTTGTGATAAGGTCAGTTTAAGGAGAACCACTTACTATGACAAGTCAACGATATTTGCTTTGCAGTTGTATAAAGCATTGGCATATTTCATTTCTATATAGATTATTTGGCCTGCCCTTTCAGTCATGCTTCGTTAATTTAAGATGTTTTACTTGGTTTACATGTTATAGTTTGTGTCTAGATTAGTTTAAAGGAACAGACCAGTAACGATATTATAGGTCAATGGTATTTGGTATGCATTTGAATTAGCACTGGCATTTCTAATTTCCATAGGGGCTATTTGGACCTGCACTTTCGGTCATGAGTCAATCTCGTTGATTTTGAATGTTTTGCATAGTTTACATGTTAAGTATTACCATTTTAATTTCAAAAAGACTGTTGATGCAAAGTACCGAACTGAGAGTACTCGCAGTTACTGAAAGGTAGGTCAAAGCCAACAACAACAACTGATAAAAATTCATGTACCAAAGACAAAAAATCAATCAGTACAAATCCAGAGGATTTAGTGTAAAGACTTCATAAACAGTCTGAGAATAACATGGTCTTGTACAATGCTAGAAATGTATAAGTCATGATAGCAATACATATTATGTTATGTTTTAACTTATTGAAAATGAAATCGATGTCATTACCGATAAAAGCAATATTCAAAGATCTTATCATACTGTTCAAAATGTAATCTTTTTTATAAGTTTTTAACTATTCCAAGTTCTGCAAAATAATTTAGTACAGGTTCTAAGTAATTTCACAGTGGCTCGTGTCATAGATTTTTTTTGGCCTGCAATACATATGTCAGCCGACTGGCATCCGTTCTACATTGTGTTTATAGCGATAAACACAATGTAGAACGATAAACATAGAAGAGCCATTAACTGTGATTTATAACAATACATGAACGAGTCTGCTGTTAAAGGGGCGCAATTGGTGCCTATTTGAATACCTAAAACCTGTCGATAATCATAGTCGAAATGTATAGAGGTTGTCAAGGAGAACATTTACAGCTTTAGTCACCTCATTAAACTTCAAGTAAGTATATATGGCATATTTGCCTATTTCAGAAGAGGGCTTCATATAAGTTGCGGCAAACAAAATCACAAGCAGGTTTTTCAAAGGACCTGTCAATGTAATTGATTGATTGTGTTAAAGTTTAGTGTATAGAGAGTCAAAAAGTAAAAATGTCAATCCGGCAAATTAAAAAGCCAATGTTTTGTAGTTTTCTTTCGTTTCGTTTTTGTTTTATTTTTGTTTTGTTTTGTTTTGTTTTGTTTTGTTTTGTTTTGTTTTGTTTTTGTTTTTGTTTTTGTTTTGTTTTGTTTTGTTTTGTTTTGTTTTGTTTTGTTTTGTTTTGTTTTTTTGTTTTGTTTTGTTTTGTTTTGTTTTTATTTTGTTTATGCTATTGTATATTTTTACGGGGTCACAAAACACGATTGTAATTTTGTTGGTCTCGATCTAGAAAAACTTAGTGTCGACAGGTGATATGGCGAAAATGAATCTGTTTTTAATTCACAACCAATCAAAACTTCTGTTTTATTTAGACGTAAGTTATAAATTAGGACGATTGTTGTAATATTTATGTCACTTTGGTATCTTTTGCCTCTCTTTTACAAGCTTTCTGTTATTTAGATATGTTATGGTAAAAATGAAGAGAAAGGTAAAATAAAAATCGTATTGATGATAGAGACAAAAATACTGTAGAGTGCTGTCAAGATTGAATAGCCATACTTTATAGCACGTTGACACAGGCACTCGTCTCTGAAAAAAATTCCTATATAAAAGGTATATAGGATTTTTTTCAGAGACAAGTGCCTGTGCACGTTGACCAAGATTCGGCAACAATACAATCAGCCTAATTTTTTCAGATATATGCAACCCGAGAATCCAATAATACGTGTTATAGTATGTCTCAGATGCAACTTAACATCAGTTCTAAGTCTTCATGTAGCAAAGACCAGCGACTCTTTTCACAAAACATCCTACGTTTGAAATTGATCGTAAGTTATAATGAAAAGTGTATGACTTACAAGTATTTTTACTCTTAAGATTTTTTGTGAAAAGAGCCGCAGGCATTTAAATCTCTTTTTAAACCTTCTCTAGGCTATGCCTGTGTGTGGGACCTGTAAGGCTGTATGCATGCCCTTTGTTGGACCCAATACATCTCTATCTACAACAAGAAATAGACACCATTGCAATCTACGATTTATTTTTATACAGAAAGAGGGAATGGAGGATGGTGCATGGTATACCAAAAATGAATTGCTTGATTCTTAAGAAGTTGGTTTCATAAGGGAAGAGTATTTCCACATGTTCCATATGATATTTAGGTTCATCAAAAGGAATTGAAAAATATGGCTGTGTTAAAACCACAAAATCTTCTCTGAGTACAGACAAACCAATGCATCTAGGAAAGTTTCTTCTGTTCTTCTGCAGGAATGGACAAAAAAAATGAATAGCAAAATCCAGTTAAGTTTTTATTCAGAAACTTAAAATGCATTTAAATTTTATATATGTAGGTCCAGCCATGCTCTAAAACTCTTCCAGGTGCACAGGTTTGTCTGTACTCAGAGTGAAATTTGTGGTTTAAATACAGCCATATTTGCTAAAAAGTTAAGATGGAACCTTAAAGTAATTAAACATGGTTAATAGGTTTGTCAAAAAGTTCAACTAAATGCATCCTGTTATCTTCAAATTATACATATTTACTTTGTATAGTCATACATGTTTGGCCCTAGTTGATTGGGTAATTACTGCTTCATTGGTAGGAATTTTTATAACTGCACATTTCGGGCAAGTCGTTCAGCATGTTCAGTTGGAACTGTTCATGCTGTTAATTAATGATTGATGTCAGTATCTTCAGGTGAGGAGTAGAGGGTGTACCCCCCTCCCCTTTTGATTGGAAAAAATCATTTTTTGGCATAAAATCATCAAAATTTGTTTAATTGGTATAATTATGTTCAATTTTATTGAATTACACCCCCCTTCAAAATTCCTGGATGTTTATGGAATATAACTTGATGTCGAGTAATTTTTCTCCCTTTTCTTTTATGTATATCCCTTTGGTTGTACTACATTCATATTTTTCTAAGATTATTGGAATTTTCCTCTTATGCTTTGAAGATACTGAAATTGTATAATTTCTAGGCTTCAGGATGCTTTTTTCTACCTTGTCACCACCATCACACAATATTCCATTTTTATTATGGGGCGCGATAACTGTCAAAAAGAAAAAGAATCTTTTTTGATTGGTCAATTCATACTGATGAGAGAAATTTGACAAGATAGATTAGTTGTCAATGCTTGTATAATCATGATATTAAAATATTTATGATTTACTTTATTTTGGTGTTGTTGTGTACTTTTTACCTCATACTCTTTTGTCATGTTTGTGGGGAATATTTAGACCAATTCCATTCAGGAGCAAAAAAGAAAAATATTAATACCCATTCTTGTTTTATTGTTATTTTACCGAAATATTCTGTATTGTAAAGTCATGAAAGTTATGTTGATTAGCAATAGTAATCAGTTAAACATTTGTAAACAACTTATCTCCCCTTTCTAAATCACATTCATTCATTCATTCGATTCAGATTTGTCAGAGCAACAAAATTAAGTATTCAGGAAAAAAAAGGTTTTCCTATATCATGTATATATCCATGAACATTGGAACTCATTAAAATAAAAAATATCCATAATTTTATCTTTGCTAAGGCTACCCGTAAGAAAATCCTGAATATTTCCAAAGTGATGGCAACCCAATGACACAAAAAGCCAAAAGAAATCTAGGTCAGCATATGGTAATCAACAATAGACAAGTGTCTATACCAGATGTCAAATTCCAAATACTTAAAAGTCTAAACAAGCATTTTTAAAAGTTAAAAGTCTGAATAAAAGCAGATATTATAAATGATTTGCCATCAGCACCAAATAACCTTAGGATAAATTGTAAGATGTACAGGTAACGAAAGAAATTGACAACAAGATTCTTGATAAAAAAAGAAGTATTCTCTTAACAGAATCAAACCAAAACCAGGCATCCATTTTCTTTTCACCTGTTTTATCATGTTTATATAATTTTTATATATCATAATTCAGGAATTTTTATTTATTGCAGATGAATGTAATGCTTCAATGATGAGAGTCAATCTGTAAATAGCGGCAAGCCAAGATGTCCAACTTTAGAGTGTTCTCAACCAAATGTGTTACATTTTTGAGGAATACATCTAATATTTCCAGCTCAACAACACTCAGGAGATTCCTTTCACAAAAGTCTTATACATATTACAATCCTGAAAGTCAAAGCAGATTAACCAAATTATTAACACAAATCTGTGGTGGGTGTATAGCTTGTGGTTTATCAGTGTATTGTTTGAAGGACAGAAAATTTTTCACAAACAAATTTATAGTGAATGCCTTAGAACCTTCAGATGACAATATACCCAGAATGCCATACAGTTTCCTGGCAGATATTGTAGAAATGGCACAACCAGCTGTAGTTTATATTGAAGTTAAGATACGGTAATTTGGACAATAAGACAGAAATAAAATCAAAGTAGACAAAAAATGAACATCTACAGTTCTTGATTGAATTGTTTTAAATATTGATTGATCAGATGATCAATAAAACTAATTTTTAACAGTAACCTCCTTAATCAGTAGATCAATCTACATAAATTTTCATTGTAAGTATATTTCAGGGGCAGATCCTGGATTTTTATAAAGGGGGAGGGGCATAATTGCCTCAAACTTTACATATATATACAGCCAATCTGATTAAGGTGAAAAATTTGTTGGATGATTTTATGTTAAAAAATATCTATTTTTCAACCAAAAAGAGGGGGAGATATGCCCTCACTCCAGGTTCTTACTCCCCCTGAATCTGTCACTGTAAAATGATAAAATGGTCCATTAAACATGATTCTCAATTTTGTTGTGATGATATACAGTTGATGTTTTCTACACTAAATTTTGTCTTCAATGAAACTTACAATACCTAATGCTTCAAAACTTGATTTGACAAAGTATGAAATGATAATTGTACGACCATCAACATTGATTCTTTAACAACAACTGATTCCTATGTTCACGCATGATTTATATTGCAGCTTAAACTGTATGAAGGTAAATCTAGAAAAGCACTCTTGACACATGAAATTTATAAAGTGATGTTTTCATATTTTAAACCATGTCATTGTTACATGTACATGATGTATATGTTTTTTTTAAGTAAAACTGCTATTATATAACATTTATAAATTGGTATTACAAACTTTAGGCTTTTCACAAACAAACAGAAAATATTAAACAATTTTAAACTAATGAATTTCAGTAATCCATATGGACAAGGTGTTGTGAAATCTCATGGATCAGGATTTATAGTACGTGAGGATGGACTTGTTCTGACAAATGCACATGTGATAAGCCGACAAACAGTTGTTGACGTGAAGCTACAGGACGGTCGTGTAGTAAAGGGACAAGTTCAGGCTGTTGATTCAGTGACTGATCTGGCTACTGTTAAAATTAATGAAGTAAGTATAAAGTTATTTTAGTTGTGGACTGCTATGAATGAAAATAGATGTGAGGTATATGTCCATGAGACAGCAACCAAACAACACATATAACAAAAATTAGTAATTGGCATTTCCGCTTTCCTGTCTTTATTTTTTCTTAAATTTCTTTAATTGGAGTTTTTAAGGTTCAATATACATGTATATGAAGTTGCCACTATAAAACCTTGAAAACCAAAGGTTTGCACATGTATTCAATGGCATTAAGTTAAAATTTTAATTTACAATGGCAAGAGAAAAGTAATATTTATGTTATATTGGCAAGAATCTTACAGTGCACCATAATTATTAAGCTGGACTGATATGACTTATATAATGAACATAACTAAATAAAATCTACATGATTTACTGTATGGTACCAGCAATTGATCAAGATATTTCTAAAAAGAGTGGAGATGCTGGGGTTTAAGAGTGTTCCACCTTGAAAAGCTTAGTTTGAGTTTGTTTTGCATTGATTTTTATGTATGACTTAAAACAAAATTTTAAGAAAGGCTGTTCCAATGCATCGGATGTAAATACAGTCTATTTAGTTATCGAGTTATAATATTACTTTTGATTGCCCTTCGTATCTAATTTAGTTTTATGTGATATTGATAGTTGCTTTTTGACAGCTAGTGTAAAAAATAAATTAAGATCTGAATACATGTATAAAAAATTGTTTTTTTTTTTTTTCATATTGTCAGTTTTTTGCTTGCATTGATTGATTTCTTTGGGTCATTTTTCTATAATCAGTACTTTTAAAGAATGCATTTTTACAACTTATTATTCTTTACAATAGCAGAAGGGCATTATGTTTTTTGGTCTGTGTGTCTGTCCGTTCATCCAACTGTCCATCCCATATCAGGTTAGAATTATGGTTTATGGAAGGTTAAAGTTTGGGTAATTGTAGTTTTTGATAACACCAATTAGAAACTTCAATAGTACACATCTTAACTTTTGAAGTGAACAATTTAGAATATATGCTCAATAAGGCTTTTTACAGATTTCTTGGTTTACTAAACATGGAAATGTGATACATGTAGACTGTGGGAGCTGGGCTTTGTTTTTATTGGACACATATTCTTGTTTATTCATTGAATCTTGTCTGAATCCTTATGTTAACATGTACACACTAAGTATGACACCTGACTTATATGTTTAGAAAAACTTGCCAGTGCTAAAATTGGGAAAGTCTTCAGCATCAAGACCAGGAGAATTTGTATTAGCAATGGGCAGCCCTTTGACATTAAACAATTCTGTGACACATGGTATAATTAGTACTGTTAATCGAGGCAGCAGAGAATTGGGAATGGAAGTTCGTGATATGGAGTATATACAGACAGACGCAGTAATCACGGTATGTATGAGGTTCTTACTGGGTTTTACAGAATAGAGAACAGTCAGGGGTACTACTTGTACAAGTAATTTTTATTTACTTGAAGAAGTAATATTAATATACTTATATAAGTAAATTTGTAGGATACTTATACAAGTGTATTTTATTTACTTGTATAGGTAAAAAAAAATTGGCTTAGTTATATCCCTTAGACATTCAGATTTTTTTACTTATATAAGTGAAAAAGTCATTCTTCTTTTCTTGAATTCTTAGGACTTCTTTGCACTAATAGAATTTTAAATTGTCTGTCCTTTGCAGATGTCTTAACTAATCATTTAAGTGTAATTTCATGGACAATGAAAATCTCACTTGTCTGTTATCTTCAGAACACTGCTCATTTACAAGCCTCCAAAGAGCAGTTTTTGAAGGCCTTGAGCAAATAACTTAAGATCTTTGTGCAATCAGTTTCTTTGTTGAATTAATGAGATGAAACATTGAACTCCAATAAAAATTATGAGCTAACCTGGGAAAAATCATTAAAGGCATGTTTTTACATCTCAAAACTTGAGAATTTTTGTGGAATTGTAAAAAAAAATTACTTATACAAGTGAATTTTTGAGAAAATTTAGGGGGGATTATTCAAACATTATAATTAACTTATATAAGTATATTTTTTTTTCTTCTTCAAGTAAATAAATTTTACTTGTACAAGTAGTACCCCTGACTGGAGAATAAGGGTACCAAAAAAAAAATAACAAGTCAAAGATATAAAGAATATAGAATAATGGGGGGATAAAATTTAAAGAATAGAGAATAATGGGTAAGAAAAATAAAGAATAGAAAAATTAGAAAATCGTGAAAAAAATAAATCACTGCTTACTAGGTTGGAAAAGGCTAAAAGTGAAAAAAAGGCATCTTCAAAAATAAGTTGTTTTACAGTATTTTATAAGATTTTTATCTCATTTATATACAATGCATATCTTTCTTTTCCTGACTTTGAAATAAATGCTTTACAGCTACATATGTTAAGTACATTGCATTAATTTCATTTCAGAAAGGAAATTCTGGAGGACCTTTAGTAAACATGGTGGGTATCTTAAATTTATTTTAAGTGAAGTAAATAGCAGGGTTTTCTAATCCAATATCTTTGTGTCAAGTTTAAGCATTAAGAATTTAATTTAAACCAAATGTATCAAAAATAGGGATAAATTTTGTCATCTGCATCATTGTTTGACATCAGAAATTTCAACATTTTTTAGAAGGGATGTTAAGCACATAAATGCAGAAAAGTGCTTCATAAATACCAAATTTTCATTTGAATTACAAATGCTGTCCTTGTAACAAGTTTATATTATTATTTTGGAGATTTTATCTGAATTGTAAAATTTTGACAAATATGCTAAACATGATATTTTATTTTTTATTCAGAAAGGTGAAGCCATTGGTATAAACACACTAAATGTAATGGCCGGGATTTCATTTGCTATACCATCAGATAGAGCTGCTGAGTTTCTGAGGAAAGCAGAAGAGCTAGAAAAGAGGGGCAAGTATTGCCTAATATTGTTTTATTTTGTAATACATGTATACTGTTTGAATCTTAAAAATTATCTTTAGAAAAAAGTAATTCAGACTAAGGTATCAAATTATTGGAATTGCTTTTTACCATTTGGAGTAGGAACTGCTGATCTTCCTGTAGCACCTGAGTATACCCTCCCAGACTAATTTTACAGAATTTAATTTTAAAGCATTATTGAAGAAATTAGGACTGAAAGGTAAATCATCGAAAAGACAAAAAGTTCTTAATGGTCCAAACTGAAGTAGCCATTATTTATACATTGTATTTATAAATATATCATCTTTTTTATACAGCTGCCAAAAAAGGATGGTTTGGTATGGGAAGTAAAGCTGTTACAACAAAACAGAATCGTTATATAGGAATAACAATGTTTACACTCTCTCCAGAATTTCTGTCAGATTTACAGTCTAGAGCACCCAACTTTCCACAACACATAACCTCAGGAGTTTTAGTACCCACAGTTATACATGGGTCCCCTGCTCACAGGTTAGAAAATATTACTGTTAATACTGTATTCAAACTCACAAAAACCTAAGATGCTTGGTATATTCAAGATAGGAAATTTAAAGGAGTAGGGGCATTAAGGGCCGGTTTTGGCCCAAGAAAACAAAGTTTTTGAAAACTATTTCAGATATGCACATAATGTTTGGAAATGCATAAAATTAAGAAATATAAATAAATTGCATAAGATTTTGTATGTTATGAAGTCACAATTACATCATAATTATGCACCATTTTCATGAAAATGAAGAAAACTGCAGAATTTATACAGTTTTCAGTTGTTATTTCCTTTGTTGAAACATCGTGCGCAGCCGAGAAACAACAAAATAATTTAAGAGAAGCTTTATTATAACTATTGACACAATTCAACCAAATATAAAGTTGTTTCTTGGGTGCGCAGATACCTTTCCAATCTAATATATACTTAAAAGTGGTTGTAAAACAAGTAAAATACAAATTATTTACATAATTTAATACAAATTTCTTTATGGGTTGTTGCCATGGTAACTCGTTAAATATGAATATTTTTTTTAATTTTCTGAATACTTTGAACACTTTTTTCCTTAGTGTAGTTAGGACAAATTTAAGAATATGTATGGAAACTTTGTAATTTTCACTAATATTAGGCCTTATTGCCCCTACTCCTTTGAATTATTGCCCCTACTCCTTTGAATTGAAGGAAATAAATACATTCTACCAAGTAGATGCATATTATGACAAATATTGTTTCATCAAAACACACCTATATCAACAATAGAGTAGAACAAAATTTATGTATCAATAACAATGATTTTAAGAAAAATTTAAAACATTTTTTTCGCCTATTGTGTGTGCTTTCTATACAAATGCTCACCTATTTAGAAATGATTAATTCAGTAATATGTCATAAATTTAAAAGGGATAAATGCATTATTATTTTGATTTTCAGTTTATATAGTTCAACGAGCCAAAGTTGTATGCACAATTTTATCAAAATCTTTGACATAGACCAATTACTGTACCTTGACCTTAATCACTTTCTCAATGTAATTTTTTGTAGAGCTGGAATTCAACCTGGTGATGTTATTGTGAAAATCAACGATAAGGATATAAAATCTTCGGCTGAAGTTTATAAGATCTTAGAGACTAGTGATACTCTCATTGTACAAGTTTACAGACAGAATCAGAAATTTCAGCTTACAATTACACCAGATACAATAGATTAATGATATATGTATTTTTATCTTATTTTCTTAAAAGTAAAACTTGTAGCATGCCTGGGTACATGATTTACAAGACCTTAATCTAGGCTTTTGAGTCTATGAGTCTTTGTAGACAAAATGCTTATCTGGCATTCAAAATATTAAGCCTGGTATCTATGATGAGTTTATTGAATGAATTCCTTTTTCTTTAGGTTTTCAGGGTTTAGATTGCATGAAATGTAATCAAAACTCCTTATGTCATTGGATTGGTAGCTATATCTACCAAGCCTCATTCCTACCTTGGAGAATGCAAACAACTGAGTGCAGTGAAATGAACATTCTTGTGAATATCCATGCCTGTGTCAACCAAAACATTTTGTTAATGATATGTACTCAGCTATTCAAGTTACTAATTGATGTGTATGTGTATAACCATACTTGTCAAAAAAACTGTTTTATTAAAAACTAAGTTGTGCATGGTGTTTGAATCTGTCTGTATTAAAAATAAGTTCAAGTTCAACTACAATTATGAATAAAGGCAGATAATTCCAATTCATAATATTGCATAAATGTGTTCAATTCAGCTTAAGGGAGCTACCATTTGATTTTTATGTGGGGCTAGGATGAAATTTGAAAAAAGGCAGGACAGGAGTTTTGAGTTAAAGAAAAAAGGCAGGATGAGCAACTTGGCAAAAAAAAATAGACAGGATGACAATTTATGTAAAAAAAGTCGGGATACACTAAAAAAAAAAAAGGCAGGACCGAATAAATTGAAAAATAAAAAGGCAGGACAGAGATTACAACAACAAAAAAATACAGGACAAAATTTTTCATCCTAGCCACCCCCCCCCCCCCCCCCCCCCCCCATAAAAATCAAATGGTAGCTCCCTAAAGGCAGATAATTCCAATTCAAAATATTGCATAAATATGTTCAATTCAGCTTGATACCTGATAACATAAACAGTACCAACTTTACTGCACTAGATGCGTATTTCAACAATTATTGTCTCTTGTGTCTAGTGATGCTGGAAGCCAAAATATTCTGAAAAATCTGAACATAATACGAACGTTGAAGAGCTGATCAAATGCTGTTCCTTGTAGCATACAGATATTGAATAGCATCATTTCTCTTATTCAGCATTTGCCACAATTTATTAGGTATTGTGTTATAAGTCCCTATCTGTAAAACTGAGGAGGTCTTTAGGTTTTTCCCCTGTCCATCTATTAGTCTGTCACACTTTAGTTTCCTGTGTTTTTGTCCTGCCTGTGACGAAATTCACTGAAAGCGAGACATAGGGATTGCTTTTCCGGCGACAACGGCGTCAACAATTGATAAGTTTTCTGCTTAAATAAGTTTGATAGGAACTACTTGTGATAGATCATTGACATTTAATATAAAGTTGCATTACTATCAGTTTATAACTGTTTGACCACTGTTTCAAGGCCCTGCCCCCTAGGTCATGGTCCAGTGACTTTGAATTAATTAGCAATTTTCAGTTTTAATTTTTCTGCTTAAGTTATTTTGATAGGATCTACTTGTGATAGATCATTGATATTTAATACAAAGTTGCATTACTATCAATATCAGTTTGACAACTATTTTGAGGCCCTGCCTCCTAGGTTATGGTCCAATGACCTTGAATAAATTAGCAATTTTCAATGTTAAGTTTTCTGCTTAAGTCAGTTTGATAATGAGTTTTAATTAGTTGAAAAAGGCTTAACACATCAGATGGATACAAATAGAAATACATCTAACAAAAACAGTGGACGTGGCAGGGTATTTATACATCTCCACAACAACAAAAAACACTAAGTACAGATCTGAGAGTACTTAGGGGGAGGGTTGGCACCTTCAAACTTCTTACTGACAGCTAGTTCAAAGCCAATTACTAATAAAAAAAAACATGCATTTAAGACTAAAATATCAATCAGTACTCATCCAACATCCAATGGATTTAGTGTAAAGACGTCATTAACAGTTCGAGAAAAACATGACCTTGTGCAAAGCCAAGATACAGGTATCAACAGATTGTAGAGCCATGAATGTGCATATGTATATACAAATGATATTTAGTTTGATTTTAATTTACAGATAACAAAATCAATACTAATACCAATAAAAATAATATTCAAAGATCTGATTAAGTGTTGAATTGGTAACATTTTTTAATAAGTTTATTTAAAGAATCGATAAGTTTACCCTGATCGTTTCTAAATTTCCGGGCTCCGGTAAACAACATCTCTGTAAAAATTAGGATGTGCTATACCGTTTGAAAAAAGTTTTCTACAGGTACAACAAAACTTCAAAACCAAATCTTTATATCTATGGAAGAATTTAGTAAAGGTTTTAAATAATTTGTGGTAACAAAATCCCTGACTTAATAATTTACCAATAATACATAGATTACATTCATTGAAATCCAAAACGTCACAACAGACACGGGCATAGCGAACGAGTTGTGATATATAAACACCGTAAGATGGTGCCAAAGGAACATCCCCGTCCAAAAAAGGAAAATTAACAATAGGGAACTAAAATCGTCATTTTTGTCGTAAATTTTAGTGTAGAGTTTCCCGTTTAAAACTGAAATATCTAATCTAGGAAAGGACAGTTATTACCGTTTATTTTTGATTTATTCAAAGTAAGTACCTTTGAGTAAATTTTGGCAGTATATTTTAGAAAATTCTTGATTATTTAACGAAAAAATATCATCAAGATAACGGCAAGTCTTGTTGAATTTATCAATTCAATGCAATACCCTATAATTACCCTATCATTTAGAACTGTTAAATTTTGTGAATTTTACAAACGGCAAAGTTGACCTAAAATTTTATGGCTTCAATGTTTTTGGATATTTTCATTAGGTCTGCCCCACAGGATTAATTGCACATTGGCTCAACAACTTTTTGTTATGAATGGTCCTGAATAAAATCAAACCAGAAATAGTTATTGAATGTGGTGCAAATAATACAATTTACTTAATTTCCAATCATCACAATTGGTTCACATTTTGTTCGAGGTTCTTGTTTGACTTGAAACCCTAACAGTTTGACAAACTAAAATTATGGAAAATACATTTTTTTTAACAAGCATGATACTCAAAAATTCAGACAGTGTTCACCTGAACTGATTTCATGGATCAGTGATCAAGGTTTAAGTTGCATGATTATGTCCATTTCTCATATACTAAAAGCAGTTGATCAACTATATTTGACATGTGGAATGATTGTAAGGTGTACATATTTGACTGGCAGGTTTCATCTGACCTTGACCCTTTTTCATGGTTCGTTGAACAATGTTTAATTTTTTTGTTGTTCAGTCTATTTCTCAGATACTATAAGCAATAGGGCCATTGTATTTGGAGTATTCAATGGTTGTAATGTGAACATGTCTGTCTTGCAGGTTTTTTTTATGACCTTGACCTTAATTTCAAGGCAATGTTATGATTTCATGGTTTTGTCAGTTTATCAGATACTATAGATACTATAAGCAATAGGTAAACTATATTTGGTGTATGTAATGATTGTGATGTGTACATATCACATCTGGCAGGGTTCATATATGACCTTGACCTCATTTCAAGGTTCATTGATCAATGCTAAGATTTGTTGGTTTTTTTTCTCGCTGTGTTGAAGACCCATTGGTGGCCTTCGGCTGTTTTCTGCTCTTTGGTCGGGTTGTTGTCTCTTTGACACATTCCCCATTTCCATTCTCAATTTTATTCTGAATGTTTATTTGGACAGTGGACTGGCATCATGTTGCTTCACAACATTTTTTTGAAAGTAAAGTTTATAAATGTTTCAGAATAAAATGTTAACTTTTTGGGGGGAGGGGGTGGTCTAGTATGCGCACCACATCCATGGCAGTATAATCAGTTTGTTGATTGCGGCCATTATCTGGCAGAAGCCCCCTTTTTAGCTCACCTGGCTGACAGGCCAATTGAGCTTTTCTCATACATGGCATCCATAGTCCGTATCGTCGTTAACTTTTACAAAAATTTCTTCTCCTCTGAAACTACTGGGCCAAATTTAACCAAACTTGGCCATAATCATCATTGGTCATATAGTTTTAAAAATGTGTCTGATGACCCAGCCCGCCAATCAAGATGGTCGACATGGCTAAAAATGGAACATATGGGCAAAATGCAAGTCCCGAGTCAAGAAAAATAGTTTAAATTTTAACACAGACCATATATATCGAAGGTCGATGTTGTCAACAGCAATTTCTCCCAAAAATGACAATAAATACATTTGAAGGTATGACAACATACAATCACTTAAAATGTTCCTATATACATAGAAAAGACACATGGAAATGTTTATTTTAATCCGGATGAGTATACTATAACCCTGATAATTATAATAATATACAATATAAATCGGTACAGAGAAAGCAATTAAAAACTGATAGATAATATATATGTACAAAGAAAACAATTATAAACAATATTATCTAAGGGGGATGGGTGTTATCCTACATCTCCTTTTATCTATCATTTACAGTAACGTCAAAATGCAATCCTCTGAACATACTGTACAGAACTTCATTGCTGAAAAAACATACATTTTAGGCCTCATGTTAACTATAAAATTAGATTTATTTAGGGACTTGAAGTTCATCTAAAAGTTACTTGACGCAATGAATGTACTTGATTTGACATGCATAAGAAATGTTATGTACACTCCACAATAAGAGCATCGTCACCAACGATAGAAACATAACAATTAGAAAGGAGGTGTCGTGTCCAATTATCATAAAGTCGTATAGGGCCAACTTCCCAGGAATTAATTTCACATCGGGGCCATTTTCAAGAAACTTTAATCGATAATGAAATAGTATCACAGCTCCATGTGTCGTCTTTGAGGTTCTAGCAGTATTAAGACTGATGTCAAAACAGATAACCTCATTAATAGCGCTTGCATTTTGAGGATAGCTCTGATTGGGGTAACGGCTTCCAGTCCTGTTAGTATAATAGTCCCAGCTCTACAGCGTATTTTGTCTTAATCTGATCAAAACATTCTTGAACAAATCAAAATCATGTCGCAAGTAAAACTAAATACTATCTCAGATGCAAAAGAATACATCGGCTCATGAAGACCGTACGCGGGGGTTTTTAACGACCTTGACTTCCTATGAGGGTCTTGTACGGTCGGTATGGTAAAATAGATGATGATTGGATTTTAGGGTCCGGCTATCCTTTTGGATATTGCGGACTATCGTACATAGTGTTACAGATTAGTATCTGCTTGTCTTTTGACTTTCATTTTGCTCCGACTGCGATATTTGGCCGTTCTGACAGTATGGCAGCGTCTATAGCCTCTTTAGATTTAAGGTTCAAGGAAGACGTATGCGGTGGTGTGGTTAGTAGCCCACTAGGTCAAGGTCGTCGATGTCAAACCCCTATTCAAAGCAGTGCAGTGTAGACCGTCTTTCTTCACAGTTCCGTTACATCTGGTACCATAATGCTGTCAACT